CGGTCACAGTCTGTGTCGTCGTCACCAGCTGCCGCATTTGCTGTACTGGCTTGATGCAGAGTAGCCCACCCCGATCCCACCGCTGCAGCCTCTGCTTAGGAGAAGTTTGCACTCAGATAAATGTCTCGGAGCGGCTCACTCCAACGCTGCCACCTGGACAGCTGCTTGCAGCCTCGGGTCTCCGTCTCCCCTTTACCTTTAACGGTCCATAGCTAGAGCACACCGCTTCCTCGGCCATGGGAGAGCGTCAGGACAGGCACCGGGGCTCCGATCCGCTCGCCTCGGGGGAGTTTTGGCTTCTAGCTTCTTGCTGCGCTTGGGGTGCATTTCCAGTGAGAGCGATCCCAGGGCTCGCACACGTGCCCCTTTGCACCGGGGATGAAGCCAGATCTCAGTCCCTGCCCGGTCCCAGGTCCGTTTGCATTCTCCGTGCTGTTTGGGACTCCTGGAGGACTACGCGGCGTGCCCTTAGGTCTCCTTTGCTTTGCCCTTTCTCTTGCCGGGGAGAGTTATTTCTGCGGGCGGGCACTGATTCTCCCCCGCTCCACTGGGTGCCGGCAGCATGACACCCTCTAGGCTGACCGGGTGTAACTACAGCCCTCCGCCTTTCCGCGTGCGCGCCCCTGGCAGGGAGAGGCAATACTTGGGGTGCGTCCGAGATCCTGCACGCAGGCGGGTCTCACCTCGCGAGCCCCCGGGCTCCTCGCTCGCCTCCTTTATGACCTCTTGGACTATTTGCCTCCGGGCCCAGATTTGCCTCCCTCACCACACGCCTCTCAGCTTGGTCAGCGGGTCTCCCTCTTCCTGGGTATTTCTCTTGCCTGCTCTGCTTTTGTCCCTCTCTGGATGTCTAGCTCTGTCGCTCGCTCGCTCTCCCCCGGTTGATTTGGATTCCCAGGTTTTCCCCCATCTCCCATCCTCTCTGCACCCCGTCAGCTACCGAGCCGCCCGCCTCGGTCTCGCTCCCACGGGCTGCCCCGTCCAGCCCCAGGTCCCTGCCTCCCCCTCCAGCTGCCCAGCAGCATCTGCTACCCAGCCTGCTGATGCCACCTTCACAACATTGCAGCCCGGGCCCGCCCACCCCCCGGATTGGTCCCCCAAACCCCGGAGGGTGTGGTTTCGGTTTAACCCTTTCCCCACCAAGTCCCCCAAAAGGGGCGGGGCATGGGAAGTCTCCAGGGTGGGGGCACCAGGTGAGCCATGCCCACCTGTGCCCCTGGGCAGGGCTGGGGGGGCGGCCCCGTTCTCTTCTGCTGGAGAAGAGGCTTCATCCACGGTGGGAAGCCCGAATACATGGAGGCTGCAGAGGAGTAAAGGTCATTTGTGCACGAAGCCCACGAGCTCCTGGAAGAGATCGGGGATGCCGGACCAAACCTATGGGCAGCAACGGGGTGGGCCGACCGCTGGGAGAGGTCAGATCTAGTCCTGCGCTGGCACCAAAGGAGTCCCCCCTGGGCACGACCTGGATGGAGGTGTGCGGGCCAAGCTGAACAGCCTGGCGCTCGGGGCACGGACGCTTCGAAACAACGCCGTACAAAGTGAGCGTCCTGGACAGCCCCCACGTGCCTGCGGTGCCCCGCAGACAGCCTGGCACGTCGCCGAGAGCCGCGATCGGTACAAATGCCCAGGCAGGGCGGGAGGAATCCGCGCTCTGAGCGACGATGCTCCTGGGTTTGGAAGCTGCTATACAAAAGACAGGAGGAGGAGGAGGTGGGGAGTGACCCGGGAAGCCTATCCCAGCCCCATTTCTGCCTGGGGACAGGGGCAAGGGGCAGCCTCCCCTCAGTCAAGGGCTGCCCCTGGACCAGGCTTCCCTTTCTGGGGAACGTGAGACTGCACGCAGCAGCGGGACGTCCGCAGAGCTCAGACTAGGTGGGGACGGGAGAGCCCTGGAAACCGCGGGCCTTGCCGCCGCGATTCTCCCCGCACGCCAGCGTGACGCTGCCGGCAGAGGCTCCATCCAAAGCTTCTTGGCCTCGGGCCCGCCGGGTGGGTTCCTCCAAGGGGCCGAGGGGGATCAGTGCGTAAGTCGGTGAGATGCTCCCACGACCATCTCACAGGAGTTCCCCGAGCTAACATCAGCCGCACTTTATAGTGTCCTCCAGGGAAGCACCAGTCTCCTCCTCGGCTCGAACTGGGAAGGAGTGTGTCGAGATCGCCATTGCCAAGCAGGACCCCGGCCTCCGTCGCACTTGAATCCACCTTGCCTGTCTGTCCTTGTCCCCACAGAGGTGACACCGAAGACCAGGGAGCGAGGAATAGGACAGGGACAGCCCAGGGCATTCCCCAGTGTAGCGGACCTTGGCTTTGTACGTGATTACCTGCGGATGGACAGAAGCCATCCCAGGGGGAAGAGGGCAGGTATTAGCCATTTTGCCCCTGGCAGGGTGGACCCAGGCGGATGATATGTGAACTGGTAGAACTGACAGTCCTGGGGTCTTCCAGACTGGGCAACATCCCCCGAGGTAGCGGCAAATATCATCTAGCCACTTCTTTTTTTTAACCCAAGTTGGATGCGGGTGACGGACGCCAGCGGAAACCCCGTCGCCTGTCTCCATAGTTATACAGTCCTTGGAGATCCAGAGAGGGGGCCCTTCCTGGGCCCTGGGTACTGCAGGCCCGTGTGCCGTCCTCCCCTGGGCTCTGCTCCCCTTTCTCCTCCTTCCTGCCTCCCCGCAGCAGCACCACGCGTTTCACAAGACCTGGAACGGGCTCAGGGCAGTCGATCTGGCCTCTGCGCCCTTGCTGAGCTCAGCTGAGCTGGTGCGTCCAGACACCAGCGTCTGGTCGGTCCCGGGTGCCATGCAGACGGGGGCAGGCGCTTGGCTGCAGCGCCCAGGCTGGGGGTGAAGGCTCCTATGCCAAGCTGCAGCCGGAGGTGCTGGAGGCACTTGGCTGTCATAAGGGAAAGAATTTGCCCTTTGTGCTGAGCTCCAGCCACAAGCCTGGCTTCAGCAAGGCTCTCTGGGGCTTGGACAAATCAAGCCAGGACTGGGGGGAGGGTGTCCGTGACCCCCATGTCACTACCCCTCCCTCCACCCCTTGCCCTCCTAGCCCGCTGGATCTGCACCCACCCTCTCCGGTCCTGCTCCCTCTCCCACATCCTTCCAGCTGGCGCAACCCTGCCCCTGCCCCTCCTGCCCGTTCAGTCTCCCCTTCGCCCTCCAGCTCCTGCTCCTCGCACCCCGGGCTCCAGGCCCTGCTCCAGCCTCTCTCGTCACCACTAGGCTGCTTCCATGTCGTTAATCCCCAGCAATTTCTCCTGCCTCCTTTCTTAATCCTCATTCTCGTTGCCCTCCTCGCGAGCCCCCTATAGCACAGCTGTCGGGGCAGGCTGGCCGCCGGGTGATGTTCCCCTGGAAGGAAAGCAGGCCGATACCAAAGTAATTCAGCGATCAGCTTGGAAACCCCTGCCCCTGACTGATAATAATACAGTACCGGAGTTTGCTTTCCTCGCGGATCCACCGTGTGTGGGGTCTGGCCGGCTCCGGGGACAGGCGGGGGACGTTGAACCCTCCACACCTTGTTCCCAGTGCAGACGGACACTCAGCATCCGGCTCTGAGATCCCCGTCCCTAAGTCAAGCACGGTGCTGGGTCAGCGCCTATAGCTCTGAGCCCGAGCGAGCACAGGCCGCACAGAGCTAAAGTCCGGCAGCCGATGCAAGAGTCGAGCTGGGCTCAGGAAGGCAACGGGCAGCCAAGCCGTCTTTGATAACGGAGTGGGGCGGGGGAGCCGAGGAAAGCAAGGCCGTTCTGCACTGCTTGCCATGAAGTCCGGGGTCTGTCCCTTGGGCTAGAAGCAAAGCCCAGTTCAGCTGCAAGAAGCTATTTTCCGAGGGATCGTGAGAGGTTCCTCTCTGGACCAGGAGCTCCCCGAGGTATTCAGCTGGCCGCATCCTGCCCATTTCCCGCAGGGCGCTTGTCCCGCATCCGAGACCCACTGAAGTCAGCAGATGCTTGGGGACAAAGCCTTGGGAAGGATGCAGCCTGCAGAGACTAAAGGCCCCATCGTGCCATCCTCCACCCTGGCTTGGCTGCTGGGATCCAGAAAGTGTGTTGCACACTGGGAGCTGTAGTGCTGGACGCTGCACGCCCCAGTGAACAAACCCACCTTCAAGGGGGCAGTCTCAGACACGCTGAAGGAACACAATCCCACTGACAGCCAAGGGAAGCCAATGCACCTAAACCCTTTGGACAGTGCCCCTGGCAGCCCTCCTGGCTTCTCGCAGCCAAGAGCCTCTGCTGGGCAGAAACCAGGGCTTCTCCTCGCCCCTTGCTAAGCCTGAGTTGTTGGAGAGCGGCGAGGAAACGGACCTCAGCGCTTCCTGGGAACAGGAGGCAGAAAAGCCACAAGTCGGGCCTTTGAGTACCAACATCTTCCTTTGATGCCTATACAATATTAACAGAAGTCCAGAGCCGGCCGTGGGCTTGGGCAACGGTGTTCTCCTGGGAGGACCTTGCAAAGAAATGCCAGAGCTGTGCTGCCAGCGGTGTTACAACAGGGGCTCTGCTTGAGCTCATTGCCCTGGCTGCTGCCCCGGCTGCTGGGGCAGCTGTGAGTGCTTGTGGCCTACGGCGTCTTCCGTGAGCCCGGGGGGATCACAACAGTGACCCCAGATGTCGGCACCTTGTCTCACAGCCGGTCCCCACTTGCATGAGACTGGGACCAGTGCCTGGATAACGACGCCTCGTTGACACCGCTGGGGTAAAGGATAGAAGGGGAATAACCCACCGTTCGCCATAGCCCTGGTAACACGCCTGCAGCTGGAACTAATTCCCTGTCTATCATTACACGTGTGTGTGAAGAAAGGAGGCAAAAGGAGGAGAGTTTTGGGCAGCCGCCCGGCACACACCTCCCCTGGCAGCCGAATGGCCTGTGTTTAGTATCGACGTCCTGATTTGGGAACCCTGGTGCCAAACACTCCCACGTCTATCTGACAGCTCCTTGTAACGAGGCCCCTTCCTCGCCTCGGCAAGGAGACGGGGTTTCGTACGGAAGGTGGGAGACCTGCAACGCTGGGAGCGTGGCCAGCACCGCTGGGCAAGGGGGGAGGTATCGCGAGCCCCGTCCCCGCAGCCGTTGCGGCTGGATGGGCTCCAGGGGAGCGAAGGCAGCTGGACTTTGCTCATCCTGCGCATGAGTAAGCAGGGACCTGGGAGGACTGCCAACGCCGCTCCACCTCCCCATCCCCTCCGACCGACCGTCTCTCTCCCTCTCGCCCCCTCCCCGGGATCGCTGTCCCACTCGGGCCCGCTCAGCATCAGATAATTCCATTCTTTATGAGATCGCAGCCTTCGCCATGGCAACCCCATGGACCCGATTGGTGGGGAAGTTACAGTGACATCCTTGCTGGCTGGCACCACGCCGGGATCGATCCGCCGATGGTGTTTTGTGCAGCGCCCAAAGTGGGTCAAGGCCTAACGGGGTTTGGAAAATATCCTCTAACAGATCTGTTCCCGGAGGATTGAGCACGAGGAACCAGACGGGCGGCCCAGGCTGTGAGTCTCCCCTGCTTCCCATCGGTGTAAACCAGGACCGTGGTCGACGGGTGGCCACAGGGTGCGGACCGGCAGAGCTGATTGTGCGCTCCCAACTTCCTCTCTGCCGTGAGCTTTCCGTCTGTGGGTTGTGTTTGTCCACTGAGCTTTGGGAGGGAGCTGGCTAGTGCCAGCAAGCCTCAGTTTACTCCAGCTCTGCCCCTAACCCCGCACGGCCCCCTCCCTCCCGCTCTGGTCCCGGCTACACAGCCCCTTGCTCAGAGGTGGGCGGAGGTCTCATCTGTGCCCTGCAAGCAGCGCCAGCGGATGCCCCTTACTGCCACTGCCCATAGCCGTGTGAAGCAACTCTCCCGCTTGCTTCGTGAGCTGGACACAGGGCCGGGCTCATGCAGCTTGCTGCATCGCAGGTGGAGAAAGCATGAGGCGATCTGGATTCGATCCCTGACTCCTGGTGTGGGACCCTTTGGGTCTACCCTGGCGTGCCTCCATTTGGGGGGCATCTTACACCGGGCATCCCAAAATGAAGGGGCCCACGTATTCCTCTGCGTGCACGGCAGGAAGAGCAGGATTCCTCCGGCAGTGAGTGCTAGGCTGCAGTTCAAATCCCCATTCACTCCCAGTGCTAGGGTTGTGGTGGGGCTGACTTGTGCATCAATATGCAGGGGGGAGACTCTCCCCCTGCCTGGTGGCCCTCTCGGCTTCCCGCCAGGCCCAGCCACCGACAGAGAAGGCATGGGCAGAGGAATGAAAATGCCAGTGCCAGGAGCAAAGGAAGCAGAGGCTGAGCCATGGAGATGGGCCAGGCACCTCCACCAGTGCTACCCCCCAGGCAGGGCTGAAGCCCGCGATCCTTTTGCAGGGGCTTTGCCCTCTAGCGCGCGCCGTTCCAAATGGCAGGTTTCCCCCTTGGCGAAGTTCACCACAGCCGCGCGGCTCCTGCCAGCTGTCAGGAAACGTGGCCTGACATTCAGCTTTGGCTTGGAGACCTGCAAGCGGGAAACCTCTTGGAAACGGCGGCTTCCGTCTTTCTGCAGCAGCTCAGGTCCTCGCAGGCACGTTTCCAGCCCTGGCACAGGATGCTCCAGAGCCTGGTGCCCCAGATCTCAGTGCCCCACGCGCAGGGGGGGACAAAAGACCTTCCTGGCAGGGCAGGTATCCACGCAGCAGCTCTGTAAGCAACAGGCTGGGCCTCTAGGTAAGGATCAAAAGCCTTGTGGGAAGAAAATCAGCATCAAAGATGAGCTTGGAGTTAACTCCTCTGGATCCAGCCTCCCAGGGGAGGTGAGAAGCTGGCGACAAGCAAGGCTGGGCAGGCGAATGGATGCCAATATCATCTGACCGAAACTGCCACGCGGTTTCCCCTGCAGACAGGGACCCTGCGGACAGCGGGAGGGGGCAGGGACGTGCGTGCTGGCCAAGTGAAGCCTTTTAAAGGAAGCTGCACACAATTCCCAGCGAGGGAGAAATGTGATCAGCAGCAGAAGCCCAGCGCCTGTGCGAACGGCGCTGTCTTTCTGAGCCTCCCAGCAGCCTCGTCACCACCGAGGGACCCCACGGGGATAAGCATGAGCTTCCTCCACCCGGTTCTGGCTTCGCTGCGACCCCAGGGATTTTGCTGCACATACAGAGACGTGCAGGGGAGCAGACGCAGGCAGAGGGGTGCTGCGTCGGGAGCTGCACAGAGCCAAGAACCACCGTGCATAAAGGCCCAGCGTAGGCTGCAGGCTGAACTTGGGCAGCTCTGGGCTCCTGCACAGTTGTCAGTAATGCCCTCCCTCGCCCGCCGCACGATCAGGTATGAGCCAGGGGGATGCAAACTGCCGCTCCCACTCTTGGAAATGCAGCCAGCTCTGGGGAGGGAGGCTGCAGCTGTAGGACAGCGCCCAGCTATGGTGTGGGATGGGGAGTGAAGAAGATCGCAGCACGAAGATGACAGCAGAGCAGCTCAGTTTGGCTGGGAGGGGACTGGAAAACAACACCCCAGCGTCGGCGCATGGGAACCGCAGCTGTTCGGCTCCCTGCTCACCGCGGCAGACAGGGCAGCAGGCGCTCCTGTCCCAGAGATTAACCGGGGACCCATCCAGTGAGGCTCTTCTTCTCCTGCTGACAAGTGCAAGCACATTTCTATTGATAGTGTTATGGGGGTAGGAAGAACACCCCGCCCTGCCGCCCCCCATGCCTCTCGTGCAATCCAGCGTTTGGGCGTTTTCAGCGAAAGCGAGGGGCAAAAAATCCCAGTGAGGAGTGTTTTTTCCTCTCAGTGACTTCCTTTACTTGTTTGCATGGGAAACAAATGCCCCCTCCCCATCCCAGCTGTAGGATCCACTCGGAGACCCTCAGGGAACAGGTCTTCAGAAGATCTTCAGCTCTGGGTACCTGTACCCCTCACCCTCCAGGAAGGGATGCCGCTGCTCGCTCCCATACGGGAGATCTGGGATCCCAGTGCCAGCATCTCGTGGGTGTAATCACAGCCTGCCCAGGTCCCCGAGCAGCAGCAGAGAGGACACGTGGGCACCCTCTGTCCCTGACCCCCTCCATCTCGACTGTGCTGGCGCTCGGACGTCCCCCCGAGACGCCTCCCTGCCACACTGGAATAAATCTGTACAAAACCGCAAAGGTCCATTTAATCAGGAGGGTGGCAGCTGCCCGGGCCAGCGGGCGGGCGAGGGGCCAGGCGGGAGCTCGAGGGAGACGAGGCCTTGAACAAATGTGCGATGTTTTCAATCATGTCCCCTCGACCGCGCGCCGAGCTGGCTCCTACCCGCCTGCCAGCTTTATGGCTGGGGGATGATCTATGGAGGCTCCTTGGCGCGCGGCAGCCACATAAATACTCATGACCGGGGCAGGGCGGGGGGAAGGAGAAGCCGGGAATGAGACACCCTGCTCTCTGTTCCCACCCCCGCGGCCCCTCGCCCCAGGGCTCTGCTCCCCTGGGTGCTCTCAGCTTCACGGTGGCGAGAGGCGGGCAGCGCTGCCCGAGGGAGGGTGCAGTGCACCCGTGGTGGGGTGACCCGGGAGGCAGCTGGGGCTGTTCCCTGGAGTCTCACCCCCACCACTTAGTTGCTGCCTCCCCCCAGTTTGGTACTCCCTTTCCCAGCTCTGCCCTGCACGGTGGGGTCTCTGCTTCCCCTCTGCCCCCCGACATCTCTCTCAACCCCATCCCATCCCACCCTACCCTGGGAACATAAAGCTGCAGCCACAGAGCACGGGGGGGAAAGTGGCTTCACCTCTCCATACCAGTCCTGCTGTATCCTCCGCCACTGGCCTGCTGCCTGGCCTTGGCCAAGTCACTCCCTCCTCCCGTGCCTCAGTTTCTCCACCTGCAAAGCCCCGCTTTGTCCTGACAACGCGCGTGGAGGGCATTATCCGATGCAAGGCGGCCGCACACCCCCGGGCACAGAGCTGAGGCTGGACGCTGCCACCGGTGACCTCTGGACCTAGAGCCCAAAGCCAGTACTGTGCGTAACTGGGGGTTAAAGGGCTCGGGTAAAGGGGGGCGCAGTAAATGTTGTGCCAGCTCCTCGGGGCCTCCTTGCCGGGCGGTCCCAGCGGGAGCGGGCCTGTAATGAACAGCCTGTTTTCCAGAGCAAGGGCACCGTGATTTATTTATCAGAAGCGGGTCTCCCGAGAGCCTGGCAGCTCTCATTAGTAAACATCCATTTCAGTCTGCCCTTTATGGAAATGCTCCTCGCCAGTGATTCATGGCAGGGCCCTTTCTGCTCCTGGCGCTGCAGGTGGCCAGGCTGGGGGGGCCGGGACCCCCTCTGCAGGGCTCACCGGGAAGGGGTGGGAGCATGGCAGGGCCAGGAGAGGGGGCACCTCTCATCTGCCTCCTGGGAAGGCTGCAGTGGGTACGGGGCGGGAGGCCGAGCCCCGGGGGTGCCAGGCTGGGCTGCGGGAGGGACGTGATCTGCCTGGCTTCTGCCCCCCAGCTACAGACAGGGTGGTCACTGGGTCTGAGTCGGTGCCCCTGGGTGCTGCCTGGCTGCTTCCCCTTGCAGAGAGCTGGTGCCAGGCTCAGGGAGGTGGTGCTCCCCGCCAAGGCTTTCTTTTTTCCAAATAGTTTTTAAAGGAAAGCTGGGAATCGGCCCCTAATCCCGCCAGGCATCTTGCCGCGAGCTGGCTGCGCGGGGGCTGCAGGCTGGGCACCGCTGTCCCCGGGCCCCCGGTGTCTGCAGGATTAATCAGAGAGCAAGCCACGGCATTACTCCACGCGGCAGAGGTCGCGGCAGGGGAAGAAGATTAAAGGCAGGGTACACGCAAGATGAATGCTGGGGGGAAGGGGATGGTGAAATCTGCCCAGCTGTTTCCATGGGGAAGGAGCTGGGGCCTGCACCCCAGCTGGACAGACCCCGGGGAGCAGCTGGGAGCTGGCGAGGAGGATGGATGGCGCAGTCGGCCCAGCCTGGCTACAGGCACTGTCGGTGAATTGTGCTGCTTTTTACCATGTATAAACCCCTTGTGTGTGTCGCAGCAGATCTATGCCCCAGGGGGGGTTCACACCCCCCACCTGACACCCCCCCATTTGGGGGACCTGTCCACAGCAGGAGCCTGGTCTCTGTGCCCAAAGGAGCAGCAGCCCCTGTCGAGTGCAGACCCGGTGCAAAGGGCCGCAGAGCCTTGCAGGGCTGCAAAAGCCCCATCAACGTTGGCAAAGCCACGGGAGAGACCGAGATGAAAAGCCTCCAGAAGGGCAGAGCATTGGCACGAACGCTGCGGAGCCCGAGTACTGGTCTGGGCCCCGTCACGGAGCCAGCCACCGCCAGCACCGGGCAGACAGTTCTCCTAGGTGTCTTGAGGACATTTTAAAGCAGATGCTGCTGACCAAAGCCCAGCCTCCAGACTCCTGGATGTCAGGTGGGTCGAAAGATCGGAGCACCAGAAGCTGTCTGCATTCAGGAGAGCATACCGCACCAAAGCCTGGGGGGACGTCCCCGCCGGCATTGCCCACCCTGCGACGGAGCCGAATCTCCGCAGAGACGGTGCTCCGGGCAGCGGGACGTGTGAGCGCCGCAGAAACAGATCTGACGCCAGTACAGGCTGTTCCTGCTCCCAGCTGTAATTTGGTGGTGACTCCTCTTCTCCACAAATATCCGGTCTTTTTTTTATTTTTCAGACCAGTGTTTGTGGCTGTGTGTGTGTACGTGCGCGCCTCTCTCTTTTTTCCCCCCCGATCTATTCAGAGTAGGGAAGAGATGCTGCATGCACGGCTCCAGGGACTGACCCGAGATCCTCAGGGGGAGCGAGGCACTGAAACACCTTGAAGGAGGTGGCCTGTAGCTTCTCACTGCAGAAACAGCTGCAGCATGAGAAGCTGTTGCCTCTGGCTAGCCTGCCCCTGACCCCTCCTGGTAACTCAGTCCCATCGCGTGACCGAGCTCTCGCTGGAGGCATTCCCAGACATTGCAGAGAAGCTGAGGGTGGCGGGCTCCCTCCCTCCCTCCCAGACGTGATAAAACCCAGCTGCTGATGTGCAGGTATCGGGGCAGAGCCAAGCGTCCAGGCCAGAGGAATTAGCCAACGTGGCAACTTGATGCACGTGTGATTCTTTCTGTCGTCCTGGGCGGCTTCAAACCAGTGTGACTGAGCTCGGCTATAAGGTCCAAGCTTGAGGCAGGAAGTAAATCTGGGACCCCCAAAGCAGGAGGTTACAGGGGATGACCGTGAGGCTGCCAGCCGCCCTCAAAATAGCAATGAGCAACTCTGCTGCAGCATTCATAGCCAGATGCTGGTGTTTCCATACAGGCTCCCCAGCGCTGCGGGCTTGCGAAGTCTAAGAGCAGGCTCCCCTGGGCCCAGGCCCTGTGCGCTAGGACGGCCGGTCCTGTCCCCCGTTAAGGTTTTTACATGTCCAAGCTCTCTCCCAAACAACGATCCAACCCGCTCTCACTAATAAAAAGGCCAATCCCTGAAGGCAACCCCCCTACAAGTAATCTGCCCAGACAAACCCGGCTCTGGAGCCAGCCTCAATGTGTGTCTCCGCTCATTATCGAGAGATATTTCAGGCAGCCAAAGGAAACATATTAATTAGTTGGAAAGACCAGCTCGAACGCAGGCTAAGCTCTTGATGCGCCACAAGCTGCCGCGACTTTAATTAAATCCAAAAGGCAATTAGCCCGCCGCGCTCTGCCATCTTGCCCGGGATGGCTCTGTTCTGCGCATTCTTTCAGCAGCGAGATAAGCATTTTCCATCCCCCGAAAATATCATCCGGCAGATGCTGCCAAGGGAGAAAATGGGTCCCAGATGCACGGTGTGGCTTTGCTGGCATTTGGAGCTGCCCAAGGAAGTGGAAAACCGAGGCCGGTTGTCAAAGAGAAGCTTCCTCCGAGCGCGGGTCGGCGTCGTGCTGCTCGCAGAGGGGGAGCCAGACTCTCCGACGGTCCGCGGCGGAGGCGGCGGGGAAGGGACTAGCTCGCTCCTGCCAAGGTGCCCCGGGCGTCCAGCTCCGGAGTGGGAAGACGGAGTTGGCGGCTGGTGGTTTTAAGCCCATTTGTGCTGTCCCTGCAAAGGAGCAGACCCTAGGAAGACCGCAACGCGGAGATGCCAACAAAACAGCTACAAACCTTCCCCGCCCGCCGCCAGGAAACCCGAGGGAAGGGGCAAAGAGGCCAGATGTAGACGCGTCCCCGCGGCCGGCACGGGGGACAGGGCGCCCAGTCCCCCATGATCCCTGCCCGCATCCAGGGCAAGAGCAGCCCCAGCCTGGCTCGCCCAGGACTCGCGGCGTGGATGGGCCGGCCAAGGGGAGCGCGCTGCGAGCTGCCCCCGCGGGGATCCCTGCCGGCCCGCCCTGGGACAGCCATCTCGGCTTCACCCGGGGCCAGGGCTGCCGTGCTTTGGCCACGGGCAGACGTGACGTGGGCACCCCGCAGCAGGACGGGGCTGACGCAGGGCCCGGGTGGGGGCAGCCGGGGGGGCTGGGCTGCAGGCACCGGGGTACAGGGGGGTGCAGGCCTGCTCTGGGAGGGCAGGCGTTAGCATGAGCTGCAAGGAACTATGGGAGCTGAAGTCCTGGGACTCCGCTGCAAGGAACTATGGGTGTTGTAGTCCAAAGGGAGGGTAGGGTTAAGCAGCAGGGGATTCTGGGAGTTGTAGTTGGGGTAGGAAGTAGGGGGGCTCTGGGAGTTGGAGTCCCGGGGAAGAAGGTGTGCCGCAAAGGATTCTGGGAGTTGGAAGGGGCGGGGTCCTGAGCCAAAGTGGGGCTCTGGGAGTTGGAGTCTTGAAA